AATACCGTATTTTAAACATATATATTTGCCCTCATGGACATAAAAAATAATGATTTGAATAGTAATGTGTCCACGTGGGCACATATATACCTTTAAAATACACTATTAAATAGTTCAGGGGGTAAAAAATATGATATTAATAGTCTAGGGAGGTAATAGGTCCTTATGAAAGTTTAGTATCGCAACAGCAAATCCAACCAAAGTTGGGATATTTTTCAGACCCTTATCCCTTTAAAATGGGAGAAAGATTTGTATACAAATTTATCTGTATACAAAAATACAGTTACATATACATATACATATACAGATTTATAGTTGAATACATTTAAGGGAAAAGACATAAATTCCCCCTTGAACTTGTCCCGAAAAGTCAGTTACATGCTTAAACTATCATAGTGACCTTTGCACACCTATACTATTCAAAAGTGAATTTTCTTACCCCCTAAAACTGACGTGGAAAAAAAAATAAAAAAATAGGCTCGTCAGTTTGAAATTAAAGTAAAAAAAAAAGTTAGAATCCTCTTTTCCACCCCCACCGCCCCACACCTCTTCTTCTTCAAACCCCACCCATTGTCCTCTTCTTCTTCATTCTTTATTTTCATCACACTTCTTTATTTTTTATCACAATCTTAAAAGCACAATTTTTTTAATTTGCAATTAGGTTAATTCTCATAGATTTGTTAGTGAATAATTGTATTTTATCTAGAAACATTTTGATTGATTGTTTCTATCTTTTTCATTTTTTTGACTTTGTTAAAGAATTCTTGGTTGTTAATCAATTTTTAGGTTTGGTGGTAATAGCAACTTTATGGGTTTGGCGGTGATGGGTGGCGGGTGACAAACATTAAAAGAGGTAATTGAATGTGGTGAAGAAGAAAAAATCGATATTGATAATGATGGTGGTGATATTTGGTGTTGGGTGACAGAGAAGAAGAATAATTGAATGTGATATAGTGGTGGTGAAGAACAAAATCAATAGTGAAGGTGGGGCCGGATATGATTTTCCGATGAAATGAGAATTGAAAATGGGTGGAATTAGTGATGAGGAAGATATAATTGTTAGAGAATTAAAACAATTAATTAAGAATTAGTTAGAGTAAAATCTATCTATATATAATAGGGGAAGTAAAAGTGACACGTGTCAGCACCAAAAAAAAAGAATTTGTAAATAATTAAAATTAATTATATGTAATAGGATTAAATAAAAAATTATTGTTTAATTGATAAAATAATTTTAAATTAATGACACATGGCAGGCGGCATCAACACAAAAAAAACTTTTAAATATTTAAATAACAAAATTTTAGAAAAATAACTCCCATATTCCACCATATGACACATGGCAGCCGGCAGCAACACAAAAAAGAACTTTTAAATATTGAAATAACAAAATTTTAGAAAAATAATAAATTAAAAAGTATAAATGAAAAAAAAAAATCAAAAACGATTGTGAATCATCCCTTTTCAAAAAATAAAAGTTAAATAATTTAACTCTTATTAATAATAATAATAAAAATTAAAATGCCCACTAATTAAATGTGACTTTTTCAAAATAAATAACCAAGCCACATATTTTTTTTAAAGAAAGTATAAATCTATCTATATATAATAGGAGAAGTAAAAGTGACACGTGTCAGCACCACAAAAAAAGAATTTGTAAATAATTAAAATTAATTATATGTAATAGGATTAAATAAAAAATTATTGTTTAATTGATAAAATAATTTTAAATTAATGACACATGGCAGGCGGCATCAACAAAAAAAAATCTTTTAAATATTTAAATAACAAAATTTTAGAAAAATACCCCCAATTTTCCCCCATATGACACAGGGCAGC